TCAATTATGTTCCACAGACCTTCTCTTCGTAGAAGTAGACTACATTTCATAGACCATGAAACATAGTTTGTTCCATCCAGCTTGGATATAAGGGACAAACTTTGTAGACTGACTTGTGCCATGTTTCACTATATGGATATAAAACTATAATTGATAAAACACAGCTGTCTGTTTACTGTAACGTGTAACAACACAAAAATCTCACTTTTTACATAAACCTGTTTTTATCCTAGTTAAACTGACTTTGCAGTCTCTCTGGGCCCATAACCAGTGTTAAGCCTGGATTCCCCAACGGGTGTTAAGGAAAACAAACTAAACAGAATGTGCAGCGAAGTCAGATAGGAAGACAGGTAAATGTGTGAGATTAGCCTTCTCGTTAACACACAGTAAAAATACAGATACGCTTGTGCTGTCAAAATTATAATTTATTCCATTTAAGAATTATAGCATAGTCATTATAAACAGTCCATTAGTCATATACCAAATTCAATCAAGTCTTGTCGGGGATACTCTAATTGCAAAGTCCGTGTCGAATAGCCAGTGTCAGTACACATATAATAAATCTGTCCAAAACTTATCTTCTCTCCGTTGAGAAATATCTTCAAAGTAATCCAACACTTCTTCTCCTCCCCGATCCAGCAAGAACGCAGTCTTCAATAAGCCAGCCAGTAAGAGCCAGAGAGTACCTTGCTGCTTATATAGTACTTTTACAGCTGCACCCTTAATTACATTCCTTTAGCTTAAAGTCACATACACTTTATCTGACAAACCATGATTCATCATTTTATTATCTTTACCCAAAACAGTTAGGGTAAACAATGTTATCCCTAACAGATATGATACAGTTGGAATAACAGAAACTTGGTGGGATGAAACCCATGATTGGAACATACTGGTAGAAGAATACAAACTGTTCAAAAAAAAAACACCAGACTCCATAAAAGAGGAGGTGGAGTTGCACTGTATATAAAGGACCATTATATTGCTACAGAAATGCATGAAACCAAAGATGAAAACCTCCTAGAATGCATATGGGTCAATATAAAAGAAAAAAAGAATGACATGGCCATAGGTATATATGGCCACCCAATCAAGCAGAAAAAAATAAATGTCCTTTTTGCCAACCAAGTAACAAACATATGCAGGAAACACACAACAATAGTAATGGGGGACTTCAATTATCCTGACATCAATCCTGATATCAAAACTAATTCTGCACCAAGTGAGAAATCAAATAAGTTCCTAACCAACCTAGCTGACATTAAATATGGAGAATATTTTCATATTTGTACTAAAATGTAAGACATTCTGGAACCACACTGTTCACACAATGATATGTTTGTTGTAATAAAAAAATTATTGCAAAAAAAAATTCTTGTTTGGACCAAGTTTGATAAAATTATCCCACACAGTGCTTCTTGTGGTTGTCCTCTACAATGCAATTATTTATTTGTGTTGATTTAAGAAAGCAATGAAATAGGGGGTCACAGTGAGACATAAATAGGGAGTTTTATTAACAAAAGTCTCAAGGTGGGATTGATACTCATATTATAAGGCCTCATGCCCATTTGTTATGTCCCACTCAGAATCTCCCAGGCTTAGAAACAATTAAAAATCAAAGTCTAGATTTTCACTTCCTTAGATTCAAAATTCAGCTTGCCATGAATGACATCTTTTTATTTCTACACTCATTTAAAAAAATTCTAACTCATCTTCACAGATTGCTATGATCAAAGTGGTGGCACCCCGAGCAGTCCTTAAGGTGATAGATTGTACTATTCAAATTTGTGGTGCTGCTGGATTCACAGAAGATTTCCCATTGGCTCAAATGTAAGTGGAAAATACTACTACCAACCCAACTCACTAGAACTCTCCCAAAAAACATATTTGCATACATATATTTATACTTTACTGTTGTTTTGCACTTCTGGTTAGATGCTAACTGCATTTCATTGTCTGTGTCCATGGCAATGACAATAAAGTTGAATCTAATCTAATGGCTATTAAGTAGCAGCTATTGTATTCTGTACTGTTGAATTGGCACAATCTTAATATTTTCACAGGTTTGCCTATATTCGGACTTTGCGTGTGGCAGATGGGCCTGATGAAGTTCATCTCTCAGCAATTGCAAAATTAGAATTGCTTGACCAAGCCAGGCAACTGAATGCACACCTATAACAACTATTTTATTTTGTGATGGCAGTGAAAAATCCAAACTTTCCTCCACACAGCATTTTTCTTAAAATTAAGTATAACACCTAAAGAGGAACATTCCAAAAAATAAAGCAAAACCTTGATTAAATTTTAGTAATCTGTTTTTATTTCTGCAGAAAAGCTAAGTCATTTAATTGGAAAACTAGAATAATAAGCACAAATGTTGTTGCCAAACCATCCCAACAGAATTTATCATCCCTCCTGTTCACTGTTGGGGATGATGAAAATGAAAGTTATGCTATATTATGCTTATATACTTTTACTATGCTAATACTAAGATTTCCATTCATTTAATCTCTAGTGGTTATTTCTTCTTTTTTTGGAAGCTGTGGTAAATGTAAATACAGCCTTTGAAAACGGGCATCAAACAAATAAATGAACATATCCAAACATTTTTGTAATCTGCTTTAAACAATAAAAATATTTTAATTAGTGAGCTGATTGGTTTTAAATTTATCAAATAAATAACTCAGTGAGCAAGAACCTTCCTCAGCAAAAATCTTTTAATTCTAGAAAGTGTGGGTATCTTGGTGGCAATAACTATTCAGCTCAGGTACTCTTGAGCAGCTGCAATAGTGATGAAGATCACAGCTAATTTATCTGTTTAAATTAAATGGCAAATTATTAGCATTTTGCATTTATATCAGGTTGTTTAAAAAGATCTTCTGGAGTTTTCCTATTTTTATACTCCATTTTCTTCTAGCTGATTTGACCTTCCCTAGTCTGCCAGTTGATGAACAAATGATTGTTCATTATGTAGGTATTTTGAGCCTGGTTCTGTCCTTAGCAGTTAAATACCAGTTATGTGTGTTTCTTGCAAACAAATTATTTCTGTGTCCACTTTTTGTAATTGTGTAAAAAAAATTCACTGTATCACTGTATCTTCTGCTGATTTTTCTCCCTGGTTTCTTTTGGATTCCTTATCTTCTTGTGCACCTTGTGTTAGCTTACATGTCTCTCATAGAAATCCGCTGCCTTAAAGGTAGAATCCAGTCTATATCTTCTAGATTGCCAGTTAATTAGGATCTCCTCCGGAACCAGCCATCTAAAATTTATTCCTTTTTTATTCAGCTTTGTTGTCTTCTTAGATCTCTTAACTTCCAGGGGCTCTGTTTCAACACTGTAATTTTCTTTTGTCTATATTGTAATGGTTCTTCCCTCACTCTCTTCAATATTTCATCCCATATTGTTCTCTTGACAAATCTAACATGGATCTCTCTGGATACTTTCTTCTTGCATAACTTGAGTTTAGCCTGTAAATTTGATCAATGTCCTCCATTATTAAAACTTTGTCAATTTGCAAAGCATCTGGCAGCAGATTCATAATCACTTCCATCAGGGATGGGATTCAAATTTTTTAACAACCAGTTCTGTGGGCATGGCTTAGGTGGTGGGCGAGGCTTGGTGGTCATATGACTGGGTGGACATAGCTTGGTGGTCATGTTATTGGCTGGGTGTGGTCAACTCAATATCACTCACATCAAGGCATGCATCTTCTTGCCTGGCCTCTCATGACTGTTGGTATGCTGCAACAGTTGTAAGTGTGAAAAATGGTCATAAGTCACTTTTTTCAGTGCCATTGTAACTTTGAATGGCCACTCCACACAAACAAAATACCAGCAAAGGAGAGGAAAAAGCTCCAGAGACGTTCCTGAGACAGGAAGTCTAGTCCTGCCAAGAATGTAATAAGGGTTAACGGAGAGGCAGTTTCTGTAAGCAACACCAGAATGTTTCCTTCCTGCCTTCCTTACAGGATTAGGCCAGTAATTTCTTCTAACAACCGGTTCTCCGAACTGCTTAGAATGCTAACAACCAGTTTGGGAGGGCGGAGCTGGCGTCTCAGCGGTACAGCATGCGATCTTGAAGCTCCAAGATTGCCGCTGATATCTCCATTGCAGGACGGTCCCACCGGACCTAAACTGTCCTGTAGAGATGGTGACTGAGGAGGGCACATCCTGTCGATCCCAGGGACATCGCAAAGTCCCTGGGTGATCCAGGAAAAGCCCTTTTGCCGCCGGCGGAGAGGCAGCGATTCAAGCTGCTTAAGCTGGGACAGCTCTGGAATGGAAGACATCGAAGGAAAGTGTGTCAGCTTGGTGAGATGAACTTTTACCTATTATTGCTTGAAGAGAATACCCTGAAAGATTTAAAGTTAAATTAAAAGAGAAAAGTGTTTAAGCAGCGAAATTAAGCTAGTTAAAGTGAAAGTTGTTAAGCCTGGATTCCCCAACGGGTGTTAAGGAAAACAAACTAAACAGAATGTACAGCAAAGTCAGATAGGAAGACAGGTAAATGTGTGAGATAAGGTTTCTAGTTAACATGCAGTAAAAATACAGATATGCTTGTGCTATCAAAAATATAGTTTATTCCATTTAAGAATTATAGCATAGTCAAAATAAACGGTCCCTTAGTCATATATCATTTTCAGTCAAGTCTTGTCGGGGATACTCTATTTGCAAAGTCCGTGTTGAATAGCCAATGTCAGTTCACTTACAATAAATCTGTCCAATCTTTATCTTCTCTCCGTTGAGAAAACAAAACACTCCTTTCCAGCAAGAACGCAGTCATCAATCCATCCAGTAATTAGGGATCAGTAAGCCAGAGAGAGAGAGAGCTGCTATTGCCTCGCTTCTTATATAGTGTTTTTACAACCACACCCTTAATTACATTCTTGCTGTTAAAGTTACACACACTTTAACTAACAAACCATGATACCTTATTTATTATTTTTACCCAAACCAGTTAGGGTAAACAATGTTATCCCTAATATTCTCCCCTTTTGGGTAATAATAATAATATTACAATAATATAACCATTTACACCTTTAAATCATAATTGTCACAACTCTCTTTAAATTTTACAACACCTTGAGCTTTTGTAAACTGGTCTGCAATATTTTCTTCCGTCATGCAGTACTCAAGTTTAATTAGACCATTTTTCACAGATTCTCTAAGATTTAAGTATCTTAAATCAGTATGCTTTGATCTAGTCTTTACAGCAATATTAGTAGCTAACTGTATAGCTGCCTGGTTGTCCTCGTACACAATAATAGAATCTTTAACAGTTATACCCATGTCTAATAATAACTGTTTGTACAGAATTAAGTCAGTGCATAGTAATGACAGACATGAAAATTCTGCTTCCATCGTTGACAAGCTAATATGCTGTTGTCTGATTGACCTCCACCCTATTAAAGTTTTACCAAATAATATAGCCATCCCAGATGTTGATTTTCTAGTATTTATGTCAGTTGCAAAACTTGCATCTGCATAGGCACTAAGATTCAAATCACCTTTTGGCTCTAGATACAATGCATGATGCATTGTTCCTTTAAGATATCTTAAAATTCTTTTTAGTGCTTGCCAATGACATTGATGTGGATCATTATTATATCATGCCAGCTGATTAATACTATAAGCTATATCTGGCCTAGACCAATTGCTTATATATGATAAGCTACCAATCAAAGATTATCAAATTTGGGACTTTGAGCATCAATTTTGCAAATTTCCTGACTCATTGGAGTCTTTGCAGGCTTACAAAGTTCCATTTTATACAATTTAATTAATTGGCAAATTTTATCCTCTTGAGATATCTTAAATCCTTTTGTGGTTTTGTTAATTGTCAATCCTAGGTACTTTTTAATTTCACCTAAATGCTTTAATTTTATCCTTTTGGCTAATAATGAAATAATCTCAGTAGCTTCATTATTGGTCTTAGTAATCAAAGCAATATCATCTGTAAATAATAACAATAATGACACCGTTCCATTATTTTCTTTTAAACATACATGGATCTGCTAAAACAGATTTAAACCCTATATTGTTTAATTCTTTCACAATATATTGGTTCCATTCATAGCCAGATTGTTTCAATCCATATAAACTCTTCTTGAGTTTCCAACAATCATTGCTATTTGCTTTATTATCTTTTATACCAACCGGTTTTTTCAAACATATTGTATGCTGCAATGGTGCATGCAGATATGCAGTTTCTACGTCTAAATGGTTAACTATATAATTATTCTTAGCTGCCCATACTAAAGCGGCTCTTAAAGTTGTAGCCTTAAGATTTTGTGCAAATACCTCATCATAATCAAATACATTTTGGTTAAATCCTTGTGCTACTAACCTAGCTTTATAAATTACTTTCCCATTATTTCCAGTCTTTACTTTAAATATCCATTTGCACCCAATGGATTTTTCTCCTGGAGGTAATTTGGTTTCTTCATAAACCTTCATTTCCTTTAATGAATTTAACTCTTTTTCCATTGCCTTTTTGCCAATTCTCCTGATCCTTAGCAGGATACATCCTAAGTTCATCTATGCTAGTAGGAACTTTATTTACTTGGCAAACAATACTTGCCTGATATCTATCAGGTGGTTTAGTATCAACGCGTATAACTAAACCACCTGATAGGTATAACAGGACTTACAGGTGGACTTTCCTTTATTTCCTGTTCTTGACTATCTATCTCTTCTTGATCAATTATTTCCTCTTGATCTTGTTCTATTTGCTCTTTGTGGACTTCTTCTTTAATTGGACTTTTCTTATAACTAGTCTTTTCTTTCTGCCTCTTGTAAGGTTCTATAATAACATCATTATCTGAATCTTGCTCTAATCTATTCCATCCTATATGTTCTAGGAATTGTGCACTATCACTGCAGTATACTCTAGATGTACCTGGTTCCCAGAATCTATAAGATCTATGGTTTGCTTGATATCTAACAAAAATTAATCTTTTAGCTCTACGTTGTCCTTTGTGCCTGAGTTGTGTAGGGATATGCACCCATGCTGGTGCACCAAATGTGTGAATATAACTCAAATCAGGTTTCCTACCATGCCACAGAGTGAATGGTAATTCACCTGTTGTTGAATTAACAACATTGTTTAATATGTGATTACCACACATTATAGCTTCTCCCCACAAATTGTCAGGTAATCCAGAATCAGATAACATTGTCCTTCCCATTGATTGCAGTGTTTGGCCTCTTCTCTCTATAAAGGCATTATGTTGAGGCCTATATGGTGCAGACTTTTTATGTTGAATACCTGCCATTCTAAGTCTACTCTGGAATTTATTATTTGTAAAT